GGACGGGATGCCAGGTACTTCTTTTGGGTGGTCCCCCCCTGCTTGCGCGTGATTCTGCGCGCAATGTAAACTACCAATAATAAAAGCAAACAAAAAAAAAACAAAACAAACAACAAAACAACAACGAACAAACAGAACTGCAACCAACTACAATTAATAATATATAAAATAAACTAAAATTACGGGAGTCTATGGCTCGAGTACCTGTGGCGCGCACAATTGTCCCACGTACGGCGGCGGGCAAATAGTCTGGTCTCCGGGCGCGCACAATAGTCTCGCGGTGGGTTCACCGGTTTCCCGGGGGATCAAGGAGCAAGGATGCTCCGGAAAAAACTGGATTTCCTTGAAATCCAGCACTCAAAAAAAAACAAAATGGCGTGGCGTCGGTAGCCTTCTTTTTGGCGTACCCTAGACTGTCTCCGTACGCGTTTCCTTCGGGACTCGTTCACGTTTATATCGTTTATTTCATAACGTTTCGGCGAAACAACAGCACCATCATCAGATTTAAAATTCATACAAACTCATAATTGGAAAACGTTAGATTCTTTTAGGTCTTTGCTGTCTTGAAACCTCAAATTTAATTTTTAACTTTAAAACAAATTTGAGCTTTCAAGACAACAAAGACCTAAAAGAATCTAATGTGTTCCAATTATGAGTTTGGATGAATTTTAAATCTGATGATGGCGCTGTTGTCTCGCCGAAACGTTATGAAATAAATTATATAAACATTTTTATTTCACACTTTGACTGAAACCCAGGAAGGAAAAGAATATAATAACAATTACACGCAGTCAGGGAAAAACATGTTAAATATATTAGTTAGTTTGGGTTAGTAAGGCCGAAACCATGTAAAATATATTTAGCGTTCTACCTATTGACGAGTTCTACTACCGATGGTCGCGCTGCAAAACGTCAAATTACTCGTTCTCGAGACAGTTGACACTTGTCAGACTTGTTTATGTATTAGAGTTGATGACATTTATAACATAAAACAATACTTTCGATCTGTTTCTGTTTCTTCAAAAGCTTGCAAAAGTTGATTAGAGCAAAACAAAACAAATCACAATCAGATGTAAACACCAATGAGACACCAATGTCAACGAAACAAGTATATCAAAGTAACTACAAGTATAAAAATTACTACTTAACTTGTACCAAGTTATAATTTTAACCACCATGAGGGGTCGGGACTTTTGAACTCGCGAATACAGGCTGTTCGAAAAATATAACCTAACTTTCTTATTTTAAATAATTGCATTTAGCATGGTTGTATTGGCGAGTTTGGATAGCCCTAGTTTTGTTAACTTATCTCTAGTTTTGGATGTATGTCAATTACTTAAGAAAAAAATGCCAATACAGATGTTTACGGAACAAGTTATATTTATGGAACTAAACTGAATTTAAGATCTATATTTGGTAGGTGATTAGCTGATGGCCTAGGCTAACCCCTCAGATAACACTGGGGTACCCATTTTGTAGCATATGAATGACAGCATGCAAGTTTTTAAAACACTGCAAGTTGGAAAACTTCTAATGCACGGGCTACGTAAATCACCCTGTATATCTGAAAATAATCAAAATGTAAATCTTATAACGATCAACAAGTCAACAAGGGTATGCATTTTAAATCTAATTTTGATATTGTTTAAGATAATATATGCATTATTCCTCAGTGGTTCAAATTCGGTATCAATTTGCGAGTTCAACTACCGATTGGGGCACTGCGAAACGACAAATTAATTACTCGAGTGACAGTTGAGAGTTGTCAGACTTGTCTATCTATTGAACTTGGTAAACAAGCGAAAAGTGAGAGTTACAATTGTAACAAAAATGAATGTGAATGAATGAATGAATTGAATGGACGCAAAAAACAAAAATGGAAATCTTGCAAAAGTTGATTAGATCAAAACAATACAAATCACAATTAGATGTAAACACAAATGTCAACAAAACAAGTGTCAAATTACTAGTTAACTTGTAGTTATAATTTTAGCCATCAGGGAGCGTTTGGTCTTTTGAACTCACGAATTGCATGTCTGCTTTTGCTGTTCCCCAACCTCAGAGGCACCCTGTATACCCAAAGAAAATCGATAGTAAATCATCATAATCAAGATATTTACTTAGTACATCATCATGAATGATAACAGTTTCAAAATAATGCGACAAATTTATTTATTTCGGTGTCGGTTCGCGTGAGAGTTAGTTGGCTTTCAATTATTTTTCTAGTTTGGTGTATTAAACTTTTTCTTACGAAATGTACGGATTCGGTTTTCTATCGATGGTGTCTAAAGATGAATACTATTATCGAATTAATAAACCGTTTGAGGCAGATATGAAGAAATCGAACAAAACGAGAGTTGTGCTTATAGGAAATTCGAAAAATAGAGGAAGACGAGTTTCAATGGTTATTGTAAGTATACATTGAAAAGAACTGGTCTTCGATCGGTGACCGATATTAGTTTAAATATCTGAGTTAACTTGATTTAGTTAAAAATATTACTGAGCGCTTCTAATTCGGAGACAGAACCACTCTAGCACTAATACATTTGTTTGCATGTTCATACATTTTGCCCCCTATTTCTGCTATATTCCTTCTCGTAATACTTGGGTAGTCTCCGGCATGGTAATTAATACTAATAAAGGATAAGGGTCAGTCATACTTAGATGCCAGACGACAGAAGGTAATATTCTCAACATAGTGTTCCCATGTATCCTTTCTTCCCACATCAGCTTCAGTTTCCTTATACACACACACACCATTTTCTCTATATTAGAGTAAGTAATATTTACAAACTGCCAACCGCTATACTCTTTACAGTTTCAACTTTTAGTATTTTAGGCTAGTTTTTTTTATTATACACGGTGATGTTGCGTTGAGGATAAAATGAATCAATGTGGGGAACAAAAGTTAGGAATCAAAATTGCTTTTGTATGAATAAATGGAAATCAATATATTCAGGGAGATCTTTTAAATTTATCTTGTTGCTTATTTCTCTTTTGCAATCTTTATGCAATATTAGAAGATTTGGTTATAAGTAGTATTTTTGGGTGCCTTATGAAATTAAATATATATTTATTGTTAATTTGAATTTAAATATCTGTTTCATTTTTTAAAATACAAACAACCATTTTTTTTATTCCTCACATATAAAATATATTTGTTACTCACATTGCAAGTTTCATTTACACAATAGAGCATATTTAAACAAAAAATATGAAAGTCAACTTGCACGCGAAATGTAAGAACTTATTTTTCGCTTGAATATTCTGCTTCTGTGTCATGGAAAGAACATTTTTTAGATAACTAATCTTTTTTTTCAGGATATTTTTAAATGTCGGCAAGTGCGTTTAGTCTGTGGCTGAAAGTTCAAAAGTGTCTTTTCCGTTTTGTTTATACATGTATAGTTCATTTAGTTCTTAACATGAAAATAAGCTTATAAAAGTACATTTCTTGTTGCCCCAAATTTTTCGTGTGTGTGTGTGGTTTTGGTAATTCTCGTATTTACGCCTATTTTGTTTCTTGGCTGAATACTACTTTGGTGAGACAGAATTTCAATGCCTATAGAGAATTTCTGTTGTAACATTTTTTTCGTTCGTTATTATTCCAATGTATTTCTTATTATTCTTTATTTTACCTTTTTGTGTTCCTTCGTCATCAGTTCTTGGCTGAAAATATCCGTAATAAGACCTGTTTCTCCTTCTTTTGAAAAGTTTTTGTGTTACAAGTGGTATGATTTATTAATGGAAACTCAGGTTTGTTTTAATTTTTTTAAGTCGCTCTAAAGAGAACGCCAATGGTTTAAGAGATTTAAATATTTTCTATGATCATGTCCCTGGTTCTTTGAGAATCTACGAAATCGGAATATTTTTTGTATTTTCGTATTATCTTTTAGAACAATGCAAAAGCAACTAATTTTCCTTAATACATTTTATTGGAATATGAACTTTTTTCAAAGAGGGCGCATCGGCTGTTTTTGAAGCAACACCATGTATTTGTTATAGTTTAAATGATAATCTTTACACACTTTGTTACCTCCATATCGTCAAGAATTTTTTTTAAGCACAATAGCTCAACTGTTTTTTAAGGGTTTTTTTTTATGTGAAAAAGTGCTAAGGTTCGACTGGTTAAATTTGGTATGTATGGAAGTTTTAGTTCTTGTACAAACAAAAATACCAAAACGAAAGTTTTTAAAATGCCAACAATATATTTTAAAATCAGGTTTCCAATATTTTCCTCTGTTTCTTGCGAATTTATGCATAATTTATTTGCTTTTCTGAAATAAAACAAACTACGCGGTGATTCAGATATATTTTGTCTGAAATTCGTTTCTTGATATATAGAGCACACTCTAACTAGAAAACGGCTTTTTTGCTTAGCATTAATGAGGGAATTGAAAAAATTTCAAATATGTTCTCTTTGGGAAAGGTAATATTTTCGTAGCTACGTAGCTCAATAATTATATTAAAGCAATAGATTTATCATAAAGTTAAGAAAAACTTATAGGCTGTGGTTTTTCCAACTGGTACCTCCTGCCTCCGAAAAGAGACCTGTAAGGATATTTACTTTAAAGGTTTTGTTCTCATACACTTTACTTTCTGTTTATTTTTCCTTTTGATGTCCGATATACTTATCTTGTTTTCTTGTACACAAGGTGAAGTCATTTTATATTCTTTGAAGGTTCTGGGTATTAATTTCATTTAATTCAAAATCTTCAGTTGCCAGGAATTTAATGGTGGTGTCATTATTTCGTTGCGTTTTATTCAATGTTCTTATAACTATAGACAAAGGTCCGATTTGTTGGTGGTTTTACAGTCGTTTTATTCGTTTACAGGACACTTCACTTCACACAACAGGAGCTGATTGTGATACTTTTTCAAAACTTTGTTAAACTGTGGTTGAATCTATTTACATAATTAGTAAGATCACTACGAGTTAAAATAGCCTCACTTTTGAAGTTGCATCTCCAACGCTTTTCGCCAAATCTTAATTATTGTTTCAGGACGTTACACTTTCTAAGGAGGAAGGCTCTCTAGGTTTTAGCATAATCGGAGGCACTGATCATTCCTGTATACCATTTGGTGGCCAAGAGCCTGGCATATTCATTTCGCATGTAAGAACTTCTTTTGCAGATGAACGTTAAATTATTTTGCTACTGTGATTATTTCGATTAATAGATAGTTCCTGGCGGAACAGCTGCGAATTCTGGCAAACTTCGAGTGGGTGATCGAATTCTGAAAGTGAATGGAGAAGACATCACTAAACAGAGTCACCAAGATGCTGTTATGTCATTGTTGCGACCCTCTGATAGTATTACGTTAACCATTCGGCATGATCCTCTGCCCGAAGGATACCAGGTAGGAGAAAACGAATTTTGGAAAATATTTTACGAGAGTATGAACTATTTTTTTGTATTTTAATGAAGCGATTTCATGTATTTCTTTTCATATCAAGTTGATCATGCAGTATGCAATCGAATGGAATAAAAAACCGAACTCGTTTAGAAAAGTTGTAATACTTTTCAATATAACCGTACTAATATTTTGAGTTGTTGTAGTTTTTTATTGACTAACATTTACTAATTGTTAAAGCATTGACAGCTCGGTTTACTGAATATATTGGAGAGTCTGAAAGGATGATATGGGATTCTTTTTTCAATACACTTCTAAAAAGTATAAATACGTAATAATACATTAATTTAACAGTTCTTAAAGAAAGTATCCTGTTTTGTGTGTGTTCACTCTGTTACGTGATGTGATAGGTAATGTATTACATAAGTTGTTTTTGTTGCAAGCAACTAATGGTTACTTACCTATATACGATGGTAAGTCTTGTAGGTTGTCAGTGTTGTAGTTTCTTTGTTACATTTTTCGTTTGCATTAATAGTTCATGTGTGTGTGTATGTGTGTTGTTATAAAAGTTGTTGCATAGTTCAAAATGTATGCATTCAATAAATATACGGGGTTCTGCAGTAGAGCAGCAAACTGCTAAGATTAGGAACTTGTTTCGAATATTGATACTTTCACTGTATGGCAGAACCTATTTGAGAAACAATGCGGTCATTTCTAGTTTAAACGCGCCTCGTTTAAATTAACAGTAACTTTTTATTCTCATTTCTTTAATAGCTACTTTTCTCAGTTGCTAAAAACGAGGGTTTTTGGCTTTCTCATGGAAAACTCATTTCAATGAGTGAGAAGTGGTAAAAAACGAATTTTTCCAAGAAACGCCGCTTAGAAAAGGTGCTAGTAAAGCAATTATCTTGCTTGTGCTTATCAGTCTGTTACGTTAGTAAGTTTTTGACTTTGAAGGCAAAGGGCGTATAAAATAAAAAGTGATCAACATAACAACTTGCCCTTACATATACAGGGTGGTTCGAAAAAAGTAATGTTCTACTATGCGTTTCATGGCAAAGGAGCATTATTTAACCTCATATTCAACGTCCGAAAATAACCGTGATAAACGACTACCATTAACTCTTTCTTGCACATTTTAATGGCATTAAAATTTAATTTCAAGTATGCAGAATTATAGATTTCTTCAAAACCTTTATAACTTTTTCAAGTACAATTTGTTAATTTTGGAACGTATGTTTTACAGGAAATACGATTGGCAATTATTTTTAATTAAAAAATGTAAAATTATTTTTCGTGTAGTTCTCTTTAAAAATATCATGTAATGTAATTTTTCTTTGCGACTCATACTTACGTATACCTGATTGTATGCTTTATTCCAAGGAAATGAGGAATCTTAACTAAGTTGGGAATAGACACGCTAAATTCTTCAAATCTTAATTTTGAGCGGTTTCGATTTTTAACCGATGATATCTGATTGACTATAGATTCTAATTGCGTATTTTTAGGCGTGTCACCGGCATGTTTACTGTTCCTTGTCCGTTTGTACTATCAACATGCCGATAAAATACAGGGTTTTCAATGTGTTACTTGCAAGCAAAAAAATCAGCCGGCGAGAACTAACAGGTTTGAAACAGCGGTTAGGGGGCTGTAAGTGATACGCCTAAAAACCTGTATTTTGGCAAACTCAAATATGTTTGTTGTAAAAAAGTTTCTACAAAAAAGAATTTATTGAGCACGTCTATTTTTCTCAGGAGTTAGTGATAGAAAAAGAAGATTCCGAAAGGCTGGGCATGCATATCAAAGGAGGTTTGCTGGCGACGCACCGAGGAAATCCCTTGGATCCTTCAGACGAGGGCGTTTTCATATCCAAAATCAATACGGTTGGAGCAGCTCGAAGATGTGGGAAACTGAAGTCAGGTGGGTGAATCGAGTAATTCACTAAGATTTGAAAACTTATTTTGGTGGCACTTTAAGGTATGAGAGTAATTGAGGTCAACGGAAAGTCACTTCTGGGAGCCACACATACGGAAGCCGTTAACGTTCTAAGACAATGTGGAAATACCATCCATCTAATCGTTTGCAAAGGCTACGATAAAGCAGACATTGACAAAGCAGTAGCTGATGGACGTTTGTTAAAACGGGGATCTGTTAGCAGCCGCTCACAAAGCGTTAGTAGTTTAGATGTTCCTGATGAAGAACTACCACCAGTGAGTAATAGAACAATAATAAATACATTCGTTCAACTTACTAACGCATTTTAGAGTCGCAGATTCGTCCGGTTTCTGATACAAGCAGCAAAACATCTTAAATATACAATGTCAAATAGAAATTAAAAATTATTTTTTTCCATGATTGTAAATACTGCCAAGAGTTGGTACACCTGCAACTATTCTTATTTCTTGTTTAACTATTTTATTATCGTATGTCGCATAACATTGCAAACACCCAGTATAATGCTCATTTGGCAAATCATGAAGGGCGAGTGTGTTTTACCTTTAATGCGCCTGCCTTTTAGTACGTTTTTGTGTATGCAACTACTTAATTCATAAAAAAATACTGCTTTATTTAATTCAATTTTCATTACAATTTTTTAAAACCAATAAATGAATAACTGAATTATACCTTTAAATGGATAGTTGATTGCTGACCTTCCTGAAATTACACAAAATGTGGACTCTTGTGTGAATTTTTTCAAACAAAAATAGCATTTTTAGTGAATGGTCAAACAAAACAGTTTAGAACATTGCAGAGTTTATTGTCGACTAATATCAAATGGATACAGGCCTGAATATGAATGAACACTGTTGAGTTGCGTTTTTGAGCTGTTGCCACTCTCTATAACTCATTTATTAAAGTGGATTCAAGTTTTACGAGACCCGAGAGTGAAATTCTAACATCTAAAAAAAAGTCAACATTTTTTATGAGTAATGTTTTACAACTTTGGCCAAACAACTAAAAAACAGAGTCACCACATTTTTTAGCTCATGATTTAAGTAACAATTTCGTTTCGCCTTTTTGCGTGACAATTGGAAAATTAAGTTGAGGGTACATAATTTGAGCCTTGAAGAAGCCCCAGTAAAGGTCGAAACGTCGGGGAATGAATAAATAGTGACGTTTTCATCATTGTCCCACACCTGCTACCTTCAACTTAATTTAAGTAACGCTTCCCCAGCGCAACGGAACTGAGTTACTGCGCCGGTTCGTTGAGTTGGCGCACCAAGCCATTTGCGTAGCACTGCGCCAGGTCCTAAAAATTGACTGAGTGAAGGCCGGGACACATTTATCCGACGCGACTCCGATCAGAGTACCTTCCGTCGATGCCCAAACAGTCGGAAAGGGGAAGACACACTTATCATACACATTTCAGTTTTTGTTCCGATTTTTGGCTCCAATAGTCATTACAGTTGCCATTCGCAAATCGGAGGGCAAGCAATATTGCAGCGGAGCTTTGAAAAAATGTTTAAAAATCTTAGCGTGTGTGACTTGGCCCTGGTGGCACTTTGTCTAGACAACGAAGAAGAAGGAAACCGAAGATATTTGAGGGAGAACAAGAGAAAACGCATATTTTGGGTCCATGCTGTTTGGAAAACAAGACCTCATGAAGGAAAGTTTTTCTTAAATTCAATAAAATGAAAAATTCTAAGCTACTTTACAATTATTTTTGAAACCTCACATGCGGGACATGAATCATCGACAAACCCGGTTGTCAAATCAGTCGAGACCGAGTGGATCCGAGCCGAGATTCGGATCCTAAACCCGAATTTATGTTCCGTCAGCTCAAAAGTGCCGTGTTTCTGATCCGAGTCTCGACTCAATGGGTCAAAAAAGCCATGTTTCGGGCAAATGGGGCAAAAGAGCCAGAAACCGGGAGCCAGCAGAACCATGATAGAACATTAAGTCCTGACGGATCTTTTGCATTCCGGGTAACGTGAGAAAAATATGTCTCATTTTATGTTGTGCAGTTGTGAAATACAGACTATAATAAATAAAGTACTATAATTTAACGTTTATTTTTCAGCCTGTGTTATGATATTTCACAATATTTATATACAAATAAAACTTGAATGTAACAATATTGCGCCAATATAAACAAAAAGGTCTAGTCTTAAGTCTTATAGTAAACGTGGGTCCGCAAAGTAACCGTTTGGAAAATCTGCTTTCTTTTTTATTCATTTATTTGTTGTTGGTATTTAAAACTTTTTGGTATAGTCATTAACAAATAACATGCACTTTTAATAATATGAGGCAATATAATTCCGTAGCAAAAGGAAATTCTTGAAAATTAATACAGTAAAGTTCGCTTATAATGAACCCGATTATAGTGAACTTTCGGTTAAAACCAACTTTTCTCCTTTAATTGAAACGTCATCCATAAAAGCCAACGTATTTTTTTACTGGTTATAACGATCCCGTTTATAACGAACTTCCGGATATAACGGTCACTTTTTGGGTTAGTTGTATATTCACTTTCCGTTTATAACGAACTTCCACGATCAACAACAGCTCAAAAAAATCAGATGAAGATGTGCACAATTTTGTCGAAGAACAAGTTAAAACCAAATTGAGTGATTTCAATTTCTTCGAATATGTGAGCATTGATAATGGCATTCTTACAAGAGAAATGTTGACCGATGAGCAAATTATAGACGCCGTAACCTCATGTACAGCTTTAAGCTATAATGAGGAAGATTTAGGTGGAACTGATTCTACTGTAGACACTAATGCTGTTGTGAAATGACAAAAAAAGTGTCCGAAACTCAGAATTTTCTACAATCACGCCAAGTTCCTAATCATACCTGGGAGTCATTTTGTGATCTTGAAAAATACATAAATAACATCTATTTTTGCAGCAGAAATGTACAAACAAAAATTGCAGACTTTATGAAGTAGATTTCAAATTGTGTTCTGTTGATCTTTTTGTGTTCTTTTTAGTTATACCTACTAACTTCTACTACTTTATGTAAAAATAACGAAATAAAATGCACCACGTGTATTTGTTATTATTCGCTTATAGCGAACTCCGCAGATAACGAACCAGTTTTAGTTCATTTTTCAAGTTCGTTATATCCGGACTCAACTGTATGTTCAAGTGTGAGCAAAGGAAATCATATATGCATTGACAATACAATATTTATAAGAAATCTTGCTCAGTGGATAATAAATGGACACACTATTAATAAGAAAGTTTGTCCGAAATAAAAATAGGAGGTAAGAAAGTAATAACTTTTTGTCTCCGAAAATGTTACTTAGCGGATTCATGTTTACTAAGACTTTGTTGGTTAATTTGATTAATAACTTCGTTAACTTATTTAGTCATCATTATGTTTAAACGATTCAACATTTCAATAGATTTGTCTTACAAAGTAGCAAATTTTTGTTGTTTAGACCATTAAAAAACCACAATTCAGCGTAAAACCGTATATATTTCTGAGGTAGCGGAAAGCGTATGATCGGAGTCGGATCGGATCGGATAAATGTGTCCCGGCCTTTACACAGGCTTACAGTATGTAGTATGTTTAAGACAACATTAACTTATCCAGACTTGCATTCTCCAACTCGACAAAACCAAAGTAAAAAATCACGCAAGTTTTGGAGGGAACAACACAGTACATTTTTTACTTACTTTATAAAGAACGATTATGTTATTGTTGAGTCATTTTCGAATCGCTTTGTTCTCTAAACATAGAAAACCGGGAGTTTTTATCTTCTGAATTCAATCTAAATTTTTAAGATATTCCGCACTTTTTACAAAAAACAAACTTTTAATTTCAGTTTGAAGAGGACAGTGAAAAGCGACTGGAACCTCTTTACCAATCTGAAGAAAATTTAACACTGGTGGAAGCGAAACCAACAACACCTGCCGAAAAGGTAACGGAAATCTGTCGTAATATATTCATCAGCTATTTTATTTAAGTACTACTTGCATACCAATCATTAAAAGCACTTCAATTCATGTCTAACAGATCGACGCCAGTTCCAATTCGTTGCAATGTATACTTTTTAGGCTTATTTTCGTTCTTAAATGACATGAAACGAGTGATTTTATTTTATGAAGCAGTTAATTAATGGACAAGAGAGTTGAACAGTTTTGAGCGAAAACTTTTAATATCCCGTGAAACTGACTTAAAAGCATCAGATAATATTTCAATTTGCTTTGGTTTCAGGTATTAGATGTAGTGCATGCAGTGGAAACGCTGGCCAAAGGCCCACAAGAAAGTGTCGCGCCGCCTAAATCACCGGGTGGACCAAACTCTGAATTAAAAACCACCACAATAGTGATGAGCAAACACACTCTAGCAGCACAACAGACAACTGTAAGTACCAAACTTTAATACAAACAAGCTAAGCTTTAACAGGTTTTTTATGTTTTCTTGTTTAATAATTGTAAAATTTTGTTTATGGCTGTGTGATGATTGGCTTAACGTGTTTGTGTTGGTTTCCCATCTGCAGGTGTCCCGTTTTAGTCGAGTTTCATCTGTTTGTATTGAGTTTATCTGTCATATTTCTTGCATATGAGGTTTTTGAAGCTGATTAAGTTTATTTGCCATCGGTCTGTTATTCATTGTTTAACAGATTCATATTATTTGAAGAGAAGTATTGCGTTATCCAACATATCTAGAATCATCATCATCATCATCATCACTAGAATCGGAATATGCATCCATAGTACGGTCGATGCATTTAATTACGAACGGGTTTGCTTTATTCTCTATAATGAATTATTGTGTCAACGATTTAATTATTATTTCTAATAGGTAATATCATGCATGAGTCCCAAGCGGGGCTTCAATCAAAATGTTAAAAATTAATTGTGAAGTCATGCTATTTGTTATGATTAAAAACGTGTATTTTGTCGCGCAGCGAAGTATTTGGAAAAACTTACCAGCAGCTTCTTTTGCTGGAAATATTTTATCTGGACTTGACTAACTTAACGATTTTAAAGGCTTCTTCTAAATTGATAATAGCAACATTTTGGTTGTGTATCTCCAACTGTTGAGTTAAGTGTAAAATTGAACAAACTGAATGGACAGTGTTTGCTATATTAGATTAGAAGTCTAAAAATCGCGATGTCTTTGCAAGTGTTATACCAGAAATTATAAACTATATACAGTGTGTTTAGTTAATATTCGGATTTTCACCTGAAGTTTCATGTTTAGATTATCGGGGATAAAAATCAGGGTTACTGATTGAGGCATGGTTTAACAATACCATTTACCGAGTGAAATGGGATTACTAACTTTATACTGCTCATTGGTTCCATCGTAATGAAACATTTTTTTACGAAACATCGTAAACAATATGTGCCACGTTTAGTCCAATAGCTATGAATGAAAAATTCACTGACATTAATTAAACGACTCTCGTAAATCGACATGGTAAATAATCTGTTAAACCCACAGAGGAAAAAAACATTATAGACATCTTAGCATTGTTGAGATCCTCGTTAATAGAAACTAGAAATTGTATTGTTGGGATTAACAGTCATCAACAAGGGATTTATACAAAAGAATTGAAAGTATCGGTAGGATTTAACCATTAATTTTTTGCTTTTGATGTTACTTAATTTTTCTCCGAGCATGTGCATGATTAGGCCATTAAAATGAAAGAAAATAGTCCAATTGATTAATTAATGGTATTTTTACAGATGAAACAGACACATTCTAAACAGTAACTGGCCACAGATATTTGGCAGTACATCAAGTCTAAGCATTTACGTTATTAGTCTAGAACTTCCAGCAGTGTTGATCTGCTTAGTAAAAGTACGGAACTAAGTTGAAAATGCTCATTTAACTTACTTCAGCTGAGCATGTTATTATTTTACGTAAAGTGACCAATTAATTATTTCTCTCTGACATTCAGTATTGAAGCAAGATCTATTTTAAATATGCATTTACCTAATTTTAAGCTAGAGCGTGTTATATTCGGACTCAAGTGATGCGTTGTATGGGGCAAATGTGTCAATTGCCGCATTTGGTATGTAAATATTTGAAAGAGAAGGAATTTCATTAAATGTAGCCGAAGTGAAGGATATTTTTGGTAATTCTTAATTAGGTGACGATGGACGAGCCTTACGCACTCTAGTAGGATTAGACGGCATTGACTTCTTAACAGATGAACGAAACTTTTTTCGTTAACATATTCGAACTTGTGTTTATAGGAAATACCATTAAGTGGTTTCCAAAAAAGTTATATCTTTAACCATAGGACGATTTTTTGACTATGACAGGGCGTTTGAACTTTTCCTTCAAAAAATACAGTGTGTCCCAGGATAGATGAAAACGAGGTGAATGATCTTTGATGTTTTATTGGCACTTCAGACTTGAGTTCTTCTAGTTAAATGTTGGTACATAAAAATAAGTTGGCTTGGTGTTACACAGTGTGACAATAAGCAACAAGCAAAATTATCACTTTACGAAAACTGTTTATTTATACATTTAGATCGAAGGTATTTGAATTTATTCAAAGTAACGCAATTGAAAAAAGTCATAAACATGCAATACAATGTTTGACTGTCCCAGCTCTTGTGAAATACATATATCAAGGGATACATTGTATTCACAGTTACCAACTATTCTTAGTTGAACATTTGTTAGAATCTATTTCCTGCAAACACATTTAAAATAATCAAAACTGTCCTAACTAAAATGTAATATGAACTTCATTAGATTTAGTGTCACGTTAATCAAGAAGATACATTTTATATGTTCCTTGGATGTACTGTACTGCCATCTTATTTTTTTACACATGTACAAACGGCTGGCAATATAATGAGTGAGCACATTTCACTCGATCAAAATAAGTGGCATTAATTTAAATTGTATAGGATATGGAAAAAAATGCCTAAAATAGCCCTAAGGGAATCATCAAACTATTTGAGTCCTTTCCTTCGTGCACTCATACGGCACAATATTATTATTCTAAATTACGCGCGTTAAATAATGTATGTTACATTATTATAATGTACAGATGGCATAGCTTGTTCTAAAGATGAAATAGCTTTAAACAGTTGATCTGTTATGATATTCGGCTTCAAGTGGTGTTTTTTTGGTCGAGATTGTCATGGAGTTTTGGAAACTTTTGCACTTTAACAGGAGTTTTTGTCATAATATTATTGATTATTTGCTGATTCATCAGCATTCATCAGTCATTCTTTGTTCCATGTTAGTGGTTTCTTCTCAACTGTTAAAAAACGGGAAGATGATAATAAAAATTCGAGGTTTCCTTAATCTTGAGCTTGATCCGTTCTCGGTGCGTCTATGTATTCAAAATAAAACTTGCATGTCTCAATTATTTGTTTTTACTATACTGCTGTATTTTCAAACAAAAACTGGCATTTAATAGTTTTTCAAAACTTGAATCGTTTGGTATGCGTGCTAAAATTATTACATTGTATCGGCATGATTTTTTGTAAAACAGCGTGAATTTAAAGTAGAGTAAACAAAATTTAAATATTGTACAAATGTTAAGATTTATGTTTCGCATCTACGAAAAGGCTCACAAGTGATCAACCTACCAGCTCCCTTTCGCAACTCGTTTGGAACCAAAATCATTATTTTGTTGCTTCACCTGTACATACAGTGTGAACGTAAAACGGATCATATTAAAAGTAGTCTATAACCTACAGATTAAAAAAATCGAACACGTAAAACTTAATGTGTAAATTGCGCACATTTTGACAACATTATTTCTCATGGCGTGATTAATGTGGTAAACTCACAATTTTTTAAATCGGCATTTGAAATATTGAGCAATTCTGCATACAGAATGATCAAATTTCCTGTAGGCTACATAACCATTTCGTTTAATTTTTTTTTCAATTATAAATATTTTCTAAAAAAACGATATTTTACTCGTTTTTGACTTTGTGTTACTATTGTGGTAAATGCTTAGTGACTTTTTTTCGGTTTTCAAATTCTTTAGTAACTGTTGTTAACGCTTGAGGAGCGATTAGTCTGATTGTTATTCGTATATTCATGTCTTCAATATTATTTGGGTATTTCGGTGTTAAAACGTCAGAATTTAAGTTGATCCCAAAAAAAAAATCGAAGGGAGTAAGTTCGGGAAATCTGGCAGTCTCTACAAATCCTTCGCCTTCTCATTCATTTGTTTGAAAAATTATATTTAAATAATTTCGAACAGATCGTGAATAGTGTAGCGCTTCACACATCTTGCTGAAACCCTAGATGATTATTGGAAATGTGGAAATGCTTCGTCTTCCGGATTTTGATTATATGATTTTACTGTTAGGGCACTATTTAATTTTGAAATACAATAAAAATACAACTAAATTCTATCAATCGTCATACTCGTCACGATAGTAACACAGGTTCAACTTTGTTTATTATTTTTTTAGAAGAAAATAACAGAAAAAACATTGAAAATATCGTTTTTAAAAAAATATATAAAAAACGAAACAAGCATTTATTTGAAAGGAAATTCTTATGTAACCTAAGAGAAATTAAACCATCCTGTATGCAAATTTGCTCGGCATTTAAAAGGCGGTATCAAAAACTGATATTGCAATTTAAAAAATCTGCTTATTTTAATTTCAGTATGATGTAAACTCTACGTACAAAGAAATATTTTAGTTTAACATGAAATTTAGCTAGTCTTTCAGAAAGTACAGTACTTACAAAAGTAAGACTAGCTAAGACAAAAGTATTATTTTGTTTGAGAGAACAAATGGTTCACATTGAACCAAAACAGAATGTCACAAAAGCGATTGCTTTTTTAGAATAATTCTTCGAGAGATAACTTCTCTGTTCTATGTAATTTTCTACGTTTCAAGCTAACTAATACTTTATCAGTTTTGTTTTGTTCATTCCTCGGATACAAATTACATTCAAAGGTTCGAGGCCAATTTTTAACTGTTTCTATTAAACGACATATTCACGCACTCGTCTGTCTCAGTTTGGAAGTCTTCTTAGAATGTATTTTAGTGTGTGTGTGTGTTAAAGCAAATGTAAGAAAATCTTTAAATTTTGCTGTTTGATATTTGCCGGCCTGTCTAGCTGCCAATTGATGTTTCAAAAGCTCTTGAACTTATTTTGAACTGTATTGATTCTATATTCTAAAAAAATAGTGTAATATTCCCCCATTGGTATTCCCCCGACGCCAATTTTGAATAAAAGTTGTTGTCGAATTCAAATTGCAAATGTCGAAATATTGGTACTTAATTTATAAAAAGGAAGTAAGTTTTCATCAATTTATGAAAGTAGCCTTTTACTGTTTTTCATTTAGTTAAAAACACATTGGAAAGGACTTGTTTCGTACATTCTTATCTAATGGGATCTTCAATTTTCAAAAAATATTTTTGGCGTCCCAAAACATTGTCGTTCGAAAAAGTTAACTGTTTAATCTATCCAGGAACATCAAAGTTATCAAAATATATAGCATGTCGTTTTTATCATTTGCACTCTCTAGCGGTATGCAAAAATTTGGATCGCATTTTAATTGATAACTTAGCACATATAATAGATATATATACTTTAAAAGCAACCGGTCACAGAGAGAGTACTTAAAATCATTAGAGTAGAAACTGGATTAATCAAATACCCTGCTTCAAAGTTAATTTCAAAGTGAATTTAAAATAAAATATTTTATTACTGTATACTTTAAGGTGTAAACAGAGCGGCGAAACGACTGATGTAAGTGTTATGTTTGACGGAAAAGCTAAAAGATCTAATTTTCTTGTTAAATGTTTAGACAAGTTTATCAGAACCAAAACAATGATTTTTTAGCTCAAAGTATCTATTTTAGACTTTTTTCAAATTGCCTCTTAATAAATCCGACTAACCCCAACTATACAAAACACCCTGTTTGTGTATGCAAGAGATACAGTTAATATTTGACAAACCTCTGCATTCATTAAATGTTTACCAAAGTATTTTAATCTTGTGCGAAAAATGTCCGTGAAAATTATTTTTGCGCTCTTTATGTACTACCGAACTTCGTAGAAGTTATGGCCATTGTTTCGAAATACGTTGAACTATTAATTAATACGTAATCTAAACTGGACATGATAATAATGCCCACTTGAAGTATAAAGTACCTATAAAATAGTAAGTTATTACCAATGAATGTCGCGTTTATATATTTGTAAATGTTAGATTCTGTTCTGAAATGCATATGAACTTCATATGCCATTTAATTATCATATATATATATAATTAAATTATCAGTCCAATAGATTATATAGATTTTTTTATATTTGATGTTAAAAGATAAATATATTAACGTAGATATTTATTTTATGTAATTTCACAAGGTAATAATGTCTCGTCGACAACTAACCAATATTCCATGTGATTTTCGATGGCAAATATATTTTTCGTATAAAGAAGCTTTTTGTTTTCGTCCCGTTATCTCGTCGCAGCAGTTGTGGTTGCTTTCAGTGTCTCGATCAGATGATGTAGTAATGACAAGGTTACGTTTCTCTACAGGAATACGCTGCCACTCTTCCGAAATCCCACAAACCGCACCAGGAAGTCGATACTGGAACATTGACCAACAAGGTTATCAGTCAGATACGCGCGTTGTCTACTGAATCTTTGGATTCTATACCTCCCATTACCAGAAACTCCCCTTCATCGTGTAGTAGGTCTCAAAGCGTGGGCGATTTATTTGCAGAAGAACCGAAAAAAAGGACGTTTTCTCTAAAGGACGAACTCATTTCTGGAAATTCGTTGAATTCTACAAACAACGAAGATGCAATATATGATATACCCATTCTGCCACCCCCAGTAGATTATGTTGCGCCCGGCTTACCCAATTACGGTTCCATGGGTGGTAACAATGTAACTCCTTCGAATAACTTAACTTACACCGTGCCAGCTCATATTCCAAACACATCAACATCGAGTTCATTTTCATTTCAACAGCCTCAGCATACTATCAATGTGTATAATCAATTTCCAACGCCCAATTTTTATAATTATGGCATGCATCCAAGCAACCCATATGGGTCCTTAAATTCAGAAAATCCGTACGCTCTTCCGACGGTTAACAGTTTTAACAGCCCAGTCTCGCCACATTTTTCCGATATCGGCAATTTGTTCAACAGTCCCGTGTCTCCTCCCCCGCCAGACAGCACGCCCTTGTTGACTGAGGCTGATATTTTAAAAGTCCCTCCTCCTCCGCCTATCGACTTTGATACTTCAACTGATAACATCCGAAGCCAGCCAGTTGAAACAAATGAAAGTCCTCCTCTTCCCACCAGTCCTCCTGCATCTCTAACGTTTAAACGCAAGCCGAGAATCATTATGAAGCCGAAATCGAAGCCTCCTCCGGTACCCGCCAAGCCTCCATTACGTTCCTTTCAGAGCGAGGAAACTTTGATCAATTGCAATCGTGGCTATTACGATTCTGTGACGAAGATTTTGGATGGGTCCTTACCTTCACGGCCCGTATCAGTTGCGTTTAGTAGTAGTAGTTTGCATTTTGGAAGTAACAGAAAGGTAATTTTCAAGTTTGGTTCAAGTTGAGTTAGGCTTATGAATCGGTTGAGTTGAGGTGTGAGTACGACTGTGATGGATGATTGTTTATTTGTCGTTAGTAGCTGATTGAATGATTTTTACTAATTTCCCGATTACAATTAATTATAGCCACCACAGAGTCCAAATTATCAGACTGTGAAGCAGTCAGTTAGCGACAGAAAGAAGTTCTTCGAGCATGCGATGGAGGAAAGTCAGAAGCATACTAAAAAAGGTAAATTTACGTTCGATTATGGTTTCAATTAACTTGGCTTTTTTGGCATTTAACCAACTAAAGTGAGCACGTTGGTCAGAATTCAGTCTTTATATTTAGATAAAACCGCACAGACTTGCATAAAAATCCCATAAACGAGTATAATCGGCACCACCGCAGGTCAAGACCCAACTGCCCTGACGTCACAAGTAGTAGGCCGAGCCGATAAGATACCATGGAACTAGATAGGCCAAGCTTTAGAGCATTTTTGCGTGACAAAAAGACTAGGAGCAAACCAATTGCGCGATTATATAATAGATAATGAGCAGATGAATAGGTGTGTGTTTTTCACTCGCATTTTCGGTCCATATGTTTTTGCGGTTTTTGTCTATTTTTGTTTCTAACTTCGAAACTAATGGATCAATCGGAATGCCCTATTGAGATGTTTTGTAGAGAATAAAAATATCTACAAAAATCGAGCGCCTGAATCGTAATGATGCCTATAATATTTCAAAAAACGCCCAATGTTTTCTAAATTTCCCAAAACCTAATTATCCGATTAAGGCGTTTGTTTGTACCCCTCATTTTGTAGATATTTTGGTTCTCTATAAATCATCTCGTCTACAATCGGGGCATTCCGATTGCTCCATTAGTTTCAAAGTTATAAACGAAAGAAGACAAAAATCGCGATTTTTGGCAATAAATTGTTAATAACGAACATATGCGCCGGAAATGCGAGTGAAAAACACCTTACCAATATTATTCATCACCAATATTATTCATCTGCTCATTATTTTTCATGTCCCAATTGGTTTGCTACTAGTCTTATGTCAATCAAAATACTCTACAGCTCTCTCACAGCGAAAGGTCCTCGTGACGTCAGAGCAGTCGGGCCTTGACTTGCGGTGGTGCCGATTATACTCGTTTATGTGAATTTAATCCCAGTCTGTGCGGTTTTACCTAAATATAAATATTATACCGGCTATATTCAATAGTGATATGCACCAAAGACATTAATAGATAGACGAATCCATAATAATTCATAAACCCCGATTTGTTTGGGAGCAACATTGATTTTTATCGATCGACGGTTCATGAATGAAAAATAAGTGGCAGGGGGTAAAGTTGGGACTGCTCGGTATATTTACAAACACTAGAATTAATCCGAGGACATAAATACATAATTTCCGCGTAAATATTTGTCTATCGCATACTTATTACTAGTAATATTCAGCTCAATATCTGAATATTACTAGTAATAAATAACAGCTCGCAATCTTGAATATTAACGCTAATAAATCACCTCCAGTGTGCATTTTATAGTCTAGTTTTGTATCTATAAATAAAGATAAGATAGAGATAAGAAGAAACACGTTCAATTTCTTTCTATTTACAGAGAAGGCATTTAGTTATTTAAGTCCGGACGAAATACAAAATCTCAAAGCAGAAGAAGATCGAAAGATTTCGACCCTATCCAGTGCCGACATGAATTCATTCCATGCCCTAAGTCAATCGGACACTGAATCAATAGAATCTCAACCGACTAGGTGAGTTATTTATTGTTTGGAGTTTTTTGGGCATAGTTTTCAAATGAAAAATCTTTAGCCGTCCATCCAGTCACATTGGCATAATTCGCACGGCAAAGGCGGAAAGAAGATGGCGCGATCGACAACGTGAAGAGGGTCTTCTAACTGATGAAGACGACGCCAGTTTGTCTCCAGCTGAGGAGCGAGCTCTTCGAGCAGAGAAAAGGGCAGCTTGGCGGGCGGCACGGCTCAAAGTAAGTTTCGGTATATTTACTTTACGGTACCATTTCTTATCATTAATTTTAGTCATTGGAGCAAGATGCAATCCAAGCGCAAATGGTAATAAAATCAATGACGGACATGGTGGGTAGTGGAGAAGTTCCCGCACACAGCTCAGTGGCCGAAGTGGTTGACGGCACAGCAGAGGTATGTTTGCTTGTTAACTGTTATTATTTACTAAAGCTGCATTCTAAGCTTTCCATACAGTCGATTAGTTTAGCACTAAACCAGCTCTTTATGACTTGATTTCAGGATGCCGAATTACTTAATAAACATTGACTTGTGGCATGTCGTTACTAACTAACTTTAACATTGTCTCTCATTTATAAAGTGTTTATGTTTCGGTTTTGGTTATCGTTATCAAAATGTTTATTTCAATGTATTCTTGCTGGGTACCGACCATGTTATTGTGAAGATTTGTTTTTAGGCATGGAATGAGCTTCTGGATTAATGACTCTATAAATGTAGACAGTTTTGATTGCTCTCAATTTCGTTTGATTATTTGAGTGTTCATTATCAACGTAGCTTTTTTGTTACTTTTGCATTTTTCTATTGCTTATAAGGAAGAAAACTTGTGGAAATTCTGAACAATTCAGTAGTTCTCCAAGTTGATTTTAATGTTATAAATAGTGATGGGCGATTCGGAACTGGCCCGAATCTCGAAATTTTCCAATACTGGTCTCGGGTCTTAACCGATGCTCCTATAAAGGAAGCAGCGTTCAACTGTAGTACAAATTATTTAACATTCTATAGTTATTAAAATACGTTATTGTTTAAAACTAAAAACAATATTTTAACTCAATTCAATTTAATAAAATGAGTACGTGGGAGGTGAATCATCGGCAAACTCGTTTGTCGAACTAGTCCAGAACAATTAATAATTATTGAACGAAACCTGAAGGTCTGACGGCTTTTCAGGTTCTCTTTCCATTTGCTTTGCGTCCGACCGATTTGTTTTAATCCTGACCAATCTCAAATCCACTCAAAGTGGGATTCTGCATTCCGCGTAACGTAAGGAAATATGTATGAAATATTTTATGTTGAGCAAGTTTGAAATAAAGTAGGCCCTATAGTTTTGCGTATGTCTTCCTACGTGTTTTAGAATATTTAACAATATTTATAAACAAAACTGGAATGTAAAATATTAAAGGGCCAATATAAAAAAAAACGTCTTGCCTTAAGTAAATGTGGGTCCGAAAAGTAACCTTTTGGAAAATCTGGTTTGTTTTTTATTAATTTATTTGCTCCGTATTTAGTGATTATTATATTAAAAGTTCGGCGCCACTACAACAAATAACGCATTTCAACTACGGGTTCCGGATCTTTTCGAGGACAGGGTTCTAATGATACGGATCTTTATAATGAGCCGACTTGCCCACCACTAGTTATGAGTAAATATATTTCGATAGAAATCGAGTTTTTGATTCATCGTCTTTATGTCGGTTTTACAAAGTTAGGTTCATTGAAATTTAGGCATTCAAAGGATATTTATGGAGTCATATAACATCCATATGTTTTGGCTCATATGCCTGCATTTCAGCATGTGCTTTCAATTGCCCTATTTGATTGTAGGGACTATTTCTTAGTCGAACAACCGCCGGAAAGAAATGGTGGGCACAGAACAGCTGATGAAAGCCATTCTAGACCGCCTATTCCAATATTATTAATTAGTAACTGTTGCAAACCGATCCACTAACTGTCATTTGTTCGGCTTATAAAAAGTTTGAAAAAATTAAACAACTTCCACCCAGCATCGACATTAAAAAAGTACTATTAATCTAATTTAAAAAAAAGAGAAAATATTAATAACGTTAGCTTGCTAATACATGTGTATGTATGGTTAAGGCTCATGAGTACATCTAGTCATTAAATCAGTCCAATCAAGGTATTCATAAAATTGCATAATGGCATGAATAACCACGTAACTGACTATAGTCGTTCGTAACTAACACATTCTGGGCGCAGTTATCTGGCGTCCGTTTTGACCCCAAAACTAACAGCATGCAGTCGCCATCTCCCCCAACATCGGCCGTACAAGAAGAGAAAGCGCCCCTACGACCCTCTTCGGCCGATTTTCCCCGGCTCGCCGTTCGTGAGAAACCGAGCGGCGCTCGCACGGTGCGAGAAAGCGAGAAGGTCCTGGAAGAATCAGTTAGCAGGAAGACGGAAGAATATGTGGATGAGATAACTGGAGAGCGTCGAGTTCGCACCGTCGAAGTTGTGGAGAAACTTATCGAGCGAGAGGTATAGCGCCGCACCAGCCCGTTGCATGTCGCTCTCTCTAGCACTTCCTGGTTAGTGTGGGGCACTTTGAATTGCGGTAGTAGTTTAGAACGCATTTTTTCATCAAACACCACTTTACTAAGCGATAACGACGCGTGATTAAAGTGATTGATAATTGTGTGCGATTATAATATCGGCGGGACAATTATTTCCTGTAAGCAACAATTCCCTGTAAGCAAAATCCACGCAGAAAATGGTTGGTTTGTAATTCGACCTCCAAAGGAAGCGAAAAAGCTACGCAAACTGAGAGTAAAATCATGGTGCCTTGGAAATCAATCAACCCTTCTTCAGGAAACTTTCGTACCCGAAAATAGCTACTTTTTATAAATCAGAACTTTTTATTTGGTGGATGGAATCAACTCATTTTTTTGTTGATGCTGCACTAATCATTTATTCACATTTTTGTGCTTTTTGTAAAATCTTGTAGCATTCATAGTTTTTGCACCAAAAAATATTTCTGTTTTCTTGTTATTTAACAATTTTAGACATTAACTGCAAATGTAGTAAGCGATAATGTTCTTTTATAATAATTTAATGAATGAAATAAGAAATGACCGACGTGGTCAAAGTCTTAGGCCGGTCGTTTTTTGGAAGCGTTTTGCCGCTGAGCGCCATATCTACGTGAAAACAAATTCACAGCACGTTTTATGAAAATCCATCTGAGACCTTTCCCGATGTTACAAAAAACTTTTAATGGTACAATATTTTACAAAGAGCACAAAAATGTCAATAACGAATTCTCGCATCAGCCCAAGAAAAACTAAATTATTGTATTGATCAAATAAAAAGTTCCAAATAAAATAAAAAGGTAAAAACATAATTTCGTTGAAGAACTTTTACTTTTTTCTTAATAAAAATAAAATAAATCTTAATAAATAAGTTAGTCTTTTGTGCCAAATATTTTCGCAGGACCCTTTTGATCATGTGTTTACGGGACACCTTGTATAAGAACAAATAGGCACTGTGTAGAATACAAGAACATTGATCAAAGTATTAGAATAATCCGAAGAATCCAGGTACATAACAATATGTGAAAAAATCACTTCTTGTAAAAGAAAAAATCCATGCATCAAGTGAGTTAGTTATCTACTTTGTAAGCTGGTGTTTGGTTTAAAATTGAAACATTTTTTACAGCATGCCTCGCTAAGCTTCGCAACTCTTTGGAGTTTGAAACTCTAATAACTTACTTATAACATTTAGGCATTGCAAATTTATTATTGGATTTTGTTCGAATAATGACCATTACAGACGCAAATCTCTTCGTGAACTTGATATTGGATGTAATTTTTTGTTCTGTTTTACAATGTACAAAATGCACACTGCAAAACATGTTAATAGATAAAAAAAAGTTTAAAATATGCAAATGGCATAAGACAGAACAGTGAAAGATATTATAGAAGATCATACCAGATACCACACCGAGGTGATGCCGAAATATTGATTCGGGGACGATTCGTTTGTCTTATCACTGCTCCTAACGTTAATGTACTAAAAAAGAGGTTGTGTGTAAGAACCGATTATTGCAATAATATTTAAAATAGTTATATGGTGTCACTTACGATTCTCTCCTCTTGTCCACTTGCATAGTTCGAGCCCATGAAAGTGGACGTTTTACGCATGATGTAGATAAAGATGTTTCAAACATCAATTTTATATGGCGTTCAACATCAACTACAATCGTGGTTACTTTATTGAAAAAGAGAAGTATCAGTTCAGGTTTCTGATATTTCGTCTATTGGCTACTTACAGCAGCTATGTATATATTATTTATATTTATATTTAATGCCTGATGATCTTAATACGAGTCTAAGTGTCCATTAAAATATCACTTTCCCAATAATCAATTGGTTGAAGCCACTGAAGTTAAAGCTTTAAACCAAATACGCTGGCATCCTTGTATCACTTTCATTTAAATGTTTTATTCTCGTGACTCAGCAGTTGGCAAAGTTGAAGCACAAACGATATAATTTTCTTGATTCTTTGGGACATTTTCTTATCTGGTGCAGTATTTAGGCGCACCGTCTGCTATACACTAAGCCCTAGCTACTCCAAGCTAATTGAAGATGATTAAAATTCGGATTTTATGTATGTATTTTAAGTTGAATGTAGCAATGCATTAAAAACTAATAAACAGATAAAGGAAGTATTAATAAATATATTCATTAACGTCTCAACTTGGCCCACGAATATGGGCGGCTATTTGTAAATCAAAAAAATAGTCCCAATAATTAAGTGTAGCTCTGTACATAGCTACAAATTTATGTTCTTCCCAAAGATTTTGAACACTATAAAGTTTTATTTCTATTTTTAAACGTTTTTTTAAATATTTGCAATGAAAATTCCAGCATAAAAAGTGTTTAGAATCGTTGGAAGAACTTAACATTATAGTAATATACAGGGCGTTCCATTTAAAATAAGAGGCTAACCAGTAGGGCCACCAAAAAAAATAATTGATATGTGTACAGCACGGCCGCCTGAGCATGACCTGAAATTTTCCAAATTATTGCAACTGTATTTTTCGAGTTACGATTAGAAGCCACCTGGACCACCCTGTATTAAAAAAACATTAAAAGTGATACAAGTAAAATATCCTCTCCCCAAATGTGCAATGTAAATTGCTTATCTCCCTTTGTATCCCAAAGTACGTACATATATTTATAATATTCACTGTATAATATGAAGCACAAACGCAAACGATTCTTCGTCAAAATTCCTACATGGAAACTTCACGCACTTCGCACGTAAACTTGACATCCACATAGAACTAACTAATAGGCGCTACTTTGATTTAGGTGGAGACCCTTGAAGAAAAAATTATATCGCTCGAATTGACAAAAACAGACGATGAAAATAAAATGTTTGACGATTCTTTGTCAAGAGAAGAAATTGAAGAATACGACGACGAGGAGACCACTACCTCGGAACCACCGACACCAACTACGGAAGATAAACCGATAATTTCAGTGAACGATGGAGGCACTCTCAGCCGAAAAAAGCGGCGAAAGAAATCAAAAAAGGGCAAACATTAGTTTTCACTATCGTGGTTTAACAATTTTTTCCCGATTTACTAATATATTTAGCGTTACAATTATTTTTGCAAAGGGTCTTTCACAACAGATTAGCTACATTCCATTTCCTAAATTGTTTTAAGAGTATAAGTTTGTTTGCTTGCTAAGGTAAGACGTTCATGATACAAACTAAATAAATATATTCTTCGAGCAACCGATGTTAAAAAACTGAACTTTTCATAGAAACTAGGAAGTATCTTAGTTATTTTATTAAGGTTTTTAATTTATTCGCTGTATTCTATGTATAAAGTACTTTGTTCTGTTTTTTGCTTGCTATTTTTAGTCACTTTGTTTTATGCTGCTTGTAACCTCGCTGCAGATGAACTCAAATCACATTAAGGTTAATTTGAAGATTCAGTTTATATCAAAATAAAATACATAAAAGTTGCACGTATTTTTCTATGCTTCTTGTTGGGCAAAAGTACTTAACGTTTAAGAATAATAACGAATTTGAACTGTATTTTTCTTAAATCCTACCTACTTGAATTCTTTGTACTGACTTGCAAGTAACATGAATTTTAAGTTTTATATTTGTCAAATATCGGCACATCTATGGCATTTATTTTAACAATCGTAGGTGACTATATTTTAATTAATTTTAGTTTCTATTGAATACTTGTTAATATTTTATATACTTTATAAAATGTAAAATTACAATGTAAACCAAGTGCTTTGGAGAAGACTATATAAATACATTTTATGATTATTTTTATGGTTTTCTTTACTTCTTTGGCGCTATGATCCCTTCGAGCTGTGCCTGGAAAAAAGTATATTATGCAGGTTGTATCACAAAAACATGTGCGTATACAACTGGATATTGCATTTACTTTCAGTTGCTGGTTGGTTTTTTTCAGGAAAGCAATTTCCTCAGTGTGTTTTCTTTCCTCGGCCAATCGCGTTTCGGCCGCTCTTCTATCTGCTTGTTCAGCGCGTTGTTTCAATTCCGTGATTTGATGTTCAAGGTCTTGTTTCTCGTTTTTCAGTAGATCTACTTCTTGATTTAAGTCAGACTTTCCTGAAAATTAAATGTTTTATTTTGTTCAGCTGAAAGAAAAGTAGTAAGGTTCATTTCTATCCAAAATAAATTAATATAATTTGTATAATGTTGAAGTGTGTAGGAAAAAAAAGGAAAAGGAAGCGCCAGATTAAAATTAAAAAAAAAACTTTCAAATAATATCTGCTACTTGAATATCGAATTCGGCAGTTATCTCCGAGCAAGTATTTGATCCTACCAATTCATCATCCAGATTTTGTTACGGAAAACTGAACGAATTCGCCTGCTTAATGTTTGTCGAATTGGAACAATATCATCGCAATATAAAAGAAAAGCTTATTTTTTGTTATCGGTTAAGTTTTGGATTATTATTATATTGGTTCTATTTTTCCGCGATGTTTTTAATATAATTTCTTCAATCATCTTTAATTTGCATCTCACAGTACATATATTACCCTGTTCCGCTTGAAGCGCTTTTCTCATTCCGAAAGCTATACTGCTGCAGTACAAGGCTTGATATGCTTCTATCGTCATTCTCATTTCGTCTCGCACCCTCAACAGCAGCAGCCCTCTTTCAGCACAATTTATTGTTACTTGACGTATAATTTCATCGAAGCATTGAGTATACAATTCTCGTCGCACTGGACAAATTCCAGTTTCTCTGGCCTAGAGAAATATTTAAAAAACGAAAGGTAGCTTTGTATCGGAACATTATTAACCAATAGTTAATAGCTTTGGAACATTTTGCATCAGCATCAGGTACCTGTCTTTGCTGCAATCGCATATCCAGTTGTTCTTGCAAATTAACCACGTCGAGCCGAGTAGCTGGTGTGGTGGATACTTGCTGTCTCCACAGCTGCCCATCTTCCTCCCATTCCTTCGGCGGAAGAATCGTGTTCAAGATTTCCTCAGTTTCGTGTTTCTGTTCAGCAGCTAATGTGCCTTTTTTAGCCGATGCCGCATCTCCCTGCAAAGATTAACTTTGCTAGACCCACACTCAATGTTTCCTCGAAACTATGCTAAAACATTTGGTTCACTTACATCACCTGAAGTCGAAGGTAATTCGTGCTTTGTTATCAGAATCGGGTTATCATATTTAACTAAAGTGTTAGGAGAAGGAATTAGGCGTTCAGCCATTTCTGCCAAAATGTTGAAAGTTTTATCAGTATTGACAAAACGGCAACAAACCTGATTTGATTTCTCACCCTTAAAATTCGTTGCTATAGAAGTAAATATGATTGAAAGTTTAGTCAGGGGTGTAATAGTTATTTTTCCACTTGCACTACTTTCGTTGTCCAAAAATATATCAAATAAGTTAAGTTAAACAGGTTAGGCAGATATTTTTGTTTCTTTACTCGCCTTTTGCACGAGAACTAAAAAAACTATCTTGGCTCTGAGCACTGAAGTCAATACCGTAATTTAGGCGCTTTTTCTTTCCTGAAGACTAAGATAAACTCAATTTGTTTCAAGAAGAGAAAGAGCGCTTCTTGCTCCACTCTCCACAGTCTCTCGGGGATAGAAATTGAAAGTTAAGAAACTTGCAAGAACGATTTTTATTATAGCTGTATCAAATGACAATTTAGCATATTATGTGGTGCTTTTATAGTGGCAACAAAAATTAATGGTCGAGAGATAATTATAAAAAATAATGAAGCACAGAGTAAAAGACGCTGAATTAGGGTAAAAAGGGGAGAGGCGACGCGGCGGGAGACATGACGCAATCCGAGAATTCGGAAAATTTGTACCCTTTGCGTCAGTCGCTCAAGTTATGAACATGCTAACAGTCTATTATTTTTCTGCTCCATAAAATCGTGGCAAAAGTGCTATAGTTACAAGATATTTAGTGATATATGGTTGGGAAGCACTACAGAATTTTTGTATTGGCTGTTTAGAGCCTTATAAAGGTCGCCAAGTAAATTGAAACTGGATAAAGGGCCTTAAATGTTCAAGATGGTTTCGTGATGCTACATGCAGTTCTTGTAAAAACTATTGCATGATATGCAGAAAAAAGCGCTAAGTAAAATTTATGTAAGTAATCGTTTGATTTTCAATGCGAAGTTGACGATTGTTTTCTTAAGGCGTTTCCATAATGATGAAATGATTAAAAAAAATTTTTCAATAATTTTTTGTTCTTATTTACTACTGACTAATTAATTTTCATCAAATTAATGTTCAAAAAATAGTGCGTCGTCTATCCCGACTTTACCCTAATTGAATCCAACATTAGGTATCTGAAAATTGAATCTTTTTACAAAGTGTCTAATTTCGTTAGCATCTTCAAACGAAAACTTTCGTGTTTAGTTTAGATTTCTAAACTAAACAATTATTCAATAAAAATGTTTATTAGAAATACAAAATTTCCTCTGAATAATTAAAAAAAATATTTTTCACTTACCTTCTATCAAATAAAAAGCAGTTTTTCAGTTCCTGTGCAACGTGGAGAATAACAGGTTCTATGCTAAAAACGTTCAGCCCATTTATTGCATAGCGTAATCCGAGTATAATTTATTTAAATCTAGGACGAGCAGAACTTGCGCTTGCATTCACCAATTTTATCAATACATAAATTAAATGTCGATGTTTACCAGTAAATCAAACCTACGATTTAAAATTGAAAAATGACTCGTCGAAATAATCATTAGAAAAATCATCCAATCATATTCAAATCAATTTATGCATTACGTGCTCAAGCGGCTAATTCATTAATAATTAAATGCAAATGTTGTGGAAAAATCAGATTGTAAAAAAAGAAACTTCAAGAAACTAGAAGCCTCAGATATTATGTCTTATCTAGTAGAAAAACTCATTCAATGTATAAATGCCAAAAATATCTCAGTTTTTCACGTTACTCAACGATTAGAACATGTTAAGCGTTAAATTTATGTGAAAATTGCCTTAGTCCAGCTCACAATGCCTATATTCTATAAAATTTGCAAATCCACAATAAATTTGATAAAATTATTTAACAAAGAAAGAAATTTTCAGGGCAGTCTGAAATCCTGAAATACTTACCAGTTTCAATTAAATTTCGATAAGGTAATTTAAAATATTAAATGAGCATTTTTTTATAGAATATCGCGCCACAGCTGAAAATTAAACAAACATTTTTAATGTTCTGAACTCTTAAAGCTTGCCAAATTTGATCTAAATATTTTTGGCGATTCACTGAAATTGCTATAAACATTCGGTCATATTAATCGCGTCGGGAATATGGCTTATTAAGAAATTATGTCAAAAAATACTTGTATAATAAACTCCTGTATGTATATATGTATGTATGTGGTAGATTTTCAAAGTTCATGTTTTTCACCAATACTAAATGGTTTCAAATTGTTGCTACATATAAAAACCGCTCTGCAGACAACAAAACAGGAAAATCAACTGCAATACTATAAAATAAATTTTAAAAAGCATAAGAGTAACAGATTATATTTATTTTGACTAACAAAATCAAACTAAGACAACGTGGTCTTTAAAGGCGAAAAAACGGGCTTGAAACTGAATGTTAAATATCCTATTTCCAATCGCATCGTCGTAAATGATATTTTTATTTAATATAATTCCAGGTTCTATTCACAAATTATCACCTTTTAGTACGCTTATACTTAATGAAAGGACCATGTTCATCTAAACAACTTTTTTCAAAATGAAAAAAATGTTAATTTTCCCATTGTTTAATTTCAATAAATTCGTTCAAAACATCAATAAATAAGGGGACACTGAACACTTAATAAAAGGACATTTACATCTACAAATAAATAGTTAATTGCACATGTTTTCATGAATTATTAAATGTGTATGAAGAATATGGAATCGGAATCGTGAAATGCAAACTGACAATGTTTGCAGCTTCAGTTAAATTTAATTGAATTAGTAAGCTTAAAGGTGCTAAAAATAAAGTAAATCGGTCTTTGGTTTAATGTTACAACATGTTTCAATGTGTGAATGTGTCAGGTATTAAAACACCCTAAAATATGGGGCAGATCAGACGATGATTCATTATTATACGTATGTCTAAGAAATAGTCGAGATGATCACTAAAATTGATACAAACAGATTTAAAACTAAAACGAACTACAATTTAATTTTAAACAACTTACGCTATCAACTCGAAAACCAGCTACTAACTGAAAAACGTATGCTTCTACTGTAAGTATTTGTTTTAGTAATATGGACAATTAACACGCAAAGATTTGCTTTAATTCAATTTAGTACTATTTGAAATTATCAAATTAGAGGAATGACAGCAGTTCAAAAAGGTGTGACATATTAAATGCAATTTTTACCAACAATCCTTGCAGTTTCAAATTTTCGATAATATAAAAAGTTATTAGTCAGTATAAGTATTTTAGTCAAAAATCAGAAGTATTCAATTATAGATTATCGAAGATTGAAAATCAATCTAAAACCAAATCATCCAAAAGGAGAATACGGCGGCTCAGAATTATTGTTCTTCTAGTCCTTATTTCATTCGAATAAATCGACGGGTTAAAATCCAAAAAAACATTTTCTCAGAGTTAATATCTGGAAAGTTAAGGGCCATTTAAGTATTCTTTTGCGATCAATACACTGGTTAGCAACTATCTCGATGGAATAATCACGAATCGTCACTTGCCACTTCACATCCTATTGGTAAATGTACATTTTCGTTATTATACCAGTATCTTTATCTTGAGTGCGATGTATTCGTCATCAAGGTGTATGGTTTTACCTTTTAGCTGTTAGGTACTAGATTTATTCACGTTGCGTAACAAGTTACATTAAAATATACGTATTAGTACATTCCAAGACTTATTGCTCAATGCATGTTATTGAGTTATAAAAATATAACAAACCCAAACCTACTCCAAGAATTCCATATATATATCCAAATATCTTTAATATGCAAGGGGGCCGGTGTGACTATCTTCGTTTTCGAATCGAATCATAATCGCATTTAAATAATAACATGAAGATTTAAAAAATTTAAAATGAAACATGTTATTGGTAAATGGGTGTAACAAATGTAGTTTGTTCACTTCATCAAAATTTCAATGAATGAAACATAGATTGCTGCATAGATTGGGAAAACAAGTTCAATGCTGTTATAAAAATAATTTTAGTTTTCCTGTTGGTTTTTAGCTACCTTCTAAATATTTATATTCAAAATTCTGAAAATGTGTTCAATTTTTTCTTTATAGCAGTTTTAATCAAGTTTTC